TCTACTTTCAACGATGTGTATATTTAGTTTATAAATTTTAAAATGTTATAGAATTATGTTTCCATTTAATTTTTCACTTAACCCCCTTTAACTTATTCACTTACACTGAAATTTTATCTCACAGACATGTTACATGAACATTATGTTAATCAACATAGATTAAATATAAGCATAATCGACACTTTTATAAGATTTAAAAATTATAAAAATATAAGATTAAAATACTATTTTAGCCTATGTACTTTCAAAATGTTCATTTTGATTAATGCACTTTCAACTTTTATCTATTTTAGTCCATATAGTTTCAAAAATTTCTTTTTTCCCTTGATCTTATTCTTTATCCCATTTCTCGATCAGAATTTAAATACGACACTACACTCAATATATTTCTTGAAATGTAGCCATAACTTTATATTAAATAGTTTCCATTGTGTATATAATTATTGAAATTTTGCAAACGGAAACTAAAATTGTCACTTTTTAAAAGTACAGGTACCAAAATGAATCTCTAAAAAGTATAGAAAATAAAACGAACCAAAGTTAATCAACCTGAACATATAGCTCAACAGGTTTATTGGGAAAATTTTCTCACAATTTGTCAATGAAAACTAAATCACACAATACTAAGAAAAATAGGGAAAGTACAGAAAACGACACAAGCAATTTATATTTCCTTCACCCCAACTATGGGCTACGTCCAGTTTTTGACAACATGGTTAAAACACCAATGTCCGACCAAAAGGCCGTGAATTCGATCCCCCACCCCCATATGTTGTACTTTATAAAAAAATTAACCAAAGTTTGAAATACAGAGATCATAATGAAATCTATAATAGCTTATGTGAGTTTAATTCTACTGTTATCACATTTTACCGATTCTCTAAATATCATAGATTCAATTCCTCATCCCACATATATATATATATATATATATATAAAAATGTGACTATATGGATGAAAAGCTTAGAGATCCATTTGGTTAATAAAGAATTAAAGGATAAAGTGAAGAAATATTTTAAGGTTAGTTTCATTTTCCAACAGCCATGTTTTGAAGTGGCTTTTGGAAGTCACAAAACGACCTCAAAAAGAAAACAAATCTTGCCCAATATTTTTATGGAATAGTTTAAGAAGCACCACGTCAAAATTGTTAATTTACAACTCCAATGCACTATTTTTGGATAATTATATTTATGACCCAATTTTTTTATGTGTCGAAATCCTATTGGATCGAAGAAGGAAACGAAATCTTATTGGTAGACAAGCATATAGGCTTTTTTAATTTTTATCATATAATAATAATAATTAGCTTGAGTTATGGCTTCCTTGTATTGTAACCCCAAAGGGCCTCAACTTTCTCTCTCTCTTTTCTTTTGGAAAAATCCTTTTTTTTTAATTGTTAACTTAATTATATTTCTTCATTTTTTTTATTGTTCATACAAACATAAAAAAAAAAAAAAAGTAAAAACTGATATTGTAAAAAAAGAAAAAAAAAAATCTTAACTACCATCACCATGCAAATGAGAATATATTCATTAGCTAAGTCTTTTTTTCTCTTTAGATATTTTTAAATGGAGGGCTTCTCTCAGCTCTCCTCCCTCACATCAAGCATAATTATATATGAATCTTGCTTTAATATATTCTTATTTTAGATGTATTTGAATATCTTTCTTTTTTTCCATTTTTAATATTCTAAATTGTGTAATTGTTTAAGTTGATTTAGATTTTCGATTAAAAAGGTATTTGGATAAAATTGGTATATCATACTACGCCTGATTTATTTGAATAACACATGCTATAGAGATTAAGCTAATTTCAATTTTTAACTTAGTGAGTTAAAAATGATTGTCACATGCTCATTTATTGATAAAATTCATTAACTCAATAATTATATGAGATTACTTAATGTTTTGACTAGATGACCACCTCTAACAACTTACTTGACTTTGAAAATGATTGCTTTAACGTAGAAAATACACTCATTAAAAATATAATTCTTACCATTTAAGCCACCTCATCTAGTAACATACCATTTTCAAATTCACACCGAAAAACTTAATACATAATAAATGAATCTGAGCATAACATAGCTCAACTGACACCTATATTTGACCAAAAAGTCGTAAGTTTGAATCCTCACAACTTATATATTGTACTCAAATAATATATATATTTGAATACAACAAAATATACGCGTTGAGGTGGAGATTTGAACTTACGACCTTTTAATCATATATATATATATATACTTTAATTATACTACAAAAAAGGGCATTCAGCACTGAAGCAGTATTTTACGTGGTTTGTCACTGAAGAGATATCGTTAGTAGTCTTCACTGACGAAAATTGCACATCAGTTAAACTAAACTATGCTCAAGTTGACTCGAGAGAAAGTAATATATATAGTTTAGAATTAATATACATTGAAAATGGCATCCTAGCCGAGTTGAAAATGACTTGGAATCTAAATTCTCATTATTGTTTATGAATCTCAGAGAGAGAGAGAGAGAGAGAGAGAGAGAGAGGCCACTGTAAGTGGGAAGGCACTTTATAAACGCACTTAGAGAGTAATAAGAGAGAGAAAAATAGGTGACGTTCCATACAAATTTTAATAACTAAGAGAATATAATAAAGGAAAAAAAATACCACTATAGAATCCGATCACCCAACCCAACCATGCATTAAAATAAATCCCAATTGCCTCCCACTTTCCTCCCTTTACTTTATACACATACCATTCCTCCATCACGCCTAATTATTCATTTTTTTCTTTTATGCTTATCCCATTTCTTTCCCTCCTTTTAATACATTATCCATCACGCTCTTTTCATTTCCGTGCGAAGAACTACTTTCATTCTAAGATACAAGTCGTCTTAAAAACAACACTTATCGAACCGTTCTTAAAGACATGCTTGTGAAACTGCCTTTTAAGAACTAATTACGAGTGAACGATCTATAAAGATGTTGAATATTGAAAAGGCATTTAGTTGCCTAAAAATATTTTTCAAAAATGACATGTTTAGTTGTGATGAAGTTCAGAATCTTAAAAAGTATTTTTCGACGAATCACTTAATTGGTACTTCTTTCGCAGTGTTAAAAGAAAGCATTATTATAA